GAACGGGAGGCTGTCCAGAGGGCACGGGGGAAACTGAGTCACGGGCTCCAGACCAGTGGGAAGGGACTGTGAGGCCCTGGTGCTGGCGGGGAGCCGGGGAGGGAGGGTGGAGGGGACAGCGGGCTGCGGGGAGTGAGGGGTTCAGGAAGGATGCTGAGTCCTGGGCTCCCCAACCCCCCACTGTAGCTTCCTTCCGGCCACACACTTGCTGGTGCTGCATGTCAGGTCTTTGCGGTCTCAGGGCCTCGTTTCCCAGGTGGGGCTGCTCAGCAAACCACGGAGAAGTGGGGGCAGGGGAGCCCAGGACCCCCGCTACAACCAGGCGTGTCTGCTTCTGCCGCCACACGGCGCATGTCAGCTCCCGTGATGTGCGGCTGCGACGGCTTTCCCGGACTGGAGAAAGGTCTGAAAACCACCCGGCGATTCATTTCCTCGGTCTCTGGGCCCTAACGCAGGTCCACTCTGTCGAAGGAGCAGAAACAGTCCTGCCCGTGCTGGTCGGGGAGCCCCTGCCTGAAATGCCAACCCCCCGGCCTGCGCAGGGCTCGCCCGCTGCCCCCGCTCCTGCCCGGGACAGGCCGCCTTCCACCGCACGGCGGAGCAGGTGGATGGCGCCCGAGGGACCAGCTTCAAAGGGCCTGCGACGTCGGCAGTGTGGCCGGGATCTCCTGCACCAGGGCCCGTGTTACAGCACAGACGGGATGAGCTCCCAGCAGCAGCAGCAGGGCGAGAAGGCAGTGACCTCAGCGTCAGTCCTGAGGACGTCTCCGCGGGGCCGGAGCTGGGGCCGCACGCCAGGCAGTCATGTTGTAGAAGACACATCCGAGCCGCGTCCTTCCCTCAATCACCTCCAAGCCGTCCTGACTGGTCTCCTGAGAGGGGCCTCCAGGTCCCTCGGGGGCCTCCATCCCTCCAAGGAGTGGACACGGCCCAGCATGGAAGCGGGCTGAGCACCGCCCGGCACAGGAGCCCTCCTGTGGTCTCTGGTCTGGCGTGGGCCCCGGCGTGGCGAGGGGCTGAGTCCGGCCACTTGGAGGCGGAGGCAGTGTTCTGGGGCGGCCTGAGCCTCTGCCCATGAGGGTCTGGGGTAGGAGGCTCGGGAAGGATGTTCCACCTGCCCAAGCCGCCGGGCAGGCTGCACTCGGGCGTCCTCACCACCGATCCTGCAGCCGGGCCGTTACGCTGACCCTCTGTTCAACCAGGAGGTTCCTCTTAGCTTCACCTTCCATCTGAGAACATGAAGACTCAGCAGGGACACGGCTGCAAAGTGTCAGGGAGGCAGGGCCAGTGGGGTGCACACCTCCCAAGACAGTGAGAAGACCCACGACGCGCCTCGTCCACGGTAGAAGCCCGCAGCCCCTGCTCAGCCCCCGCCTGTCCCGTGGTCAGCAGCTGTCCCTGCTCCCACCCCACGGGGCCCTCCGACAATCCGTCCCAGCGTCGTAAGCTAAGGACATCTGCATGGACAAGTCCCTGCGAACCCCTTTGGAGATTCTGTCTGAACCAGGCAATGTGTGTGGCCCCCACGGGAACGAGCATGCACCCCAGGGCAGATGGCAGAGTCTGCCCCTGGGGGCTGTGCGGTGACCCCCACACTGCCCGGCTCTGAGTGGAGCAGAGACGGCTCCCGTTTTGCCCAGGGGCACCCAGCAGGCGGGTGACACGCCTCCCGATTGGCCACCCGGCACTCCCTCTAGAACACGCTTCTGCATGAGGTCACGTAAGCAGCCAGGAAGGGTTGTCACCCCATCCTGCCACCCTCCAAAAGGGCTGAGTGGTCCCCATGTCTGGGGGCGCCTCCCTGCCTTCCCTGCGGGGCGTTTCCTTGGGGAAAACATTACTTTCTCCCCAGTTTGAATGCGCACTCTTGGTTCAAATATGAAGGAAACTACTCAGCTGGGTTTCTGTGCCGGTGTGTGTGAGTGAGTGTTTGCTGCAGTGGTTTTAAATTAACATGTGCATTTAGAGGATCCATCGACCAACAGATGCCAGACAGACAAGCAGGTACAGACAGATGACAGATAAACGCCGTCAGGATATGCAGACATATCAGGTGTTTGCCATCTTTCCAGGGAGCCCTGGCCAGAGCCAGACCCCAGGCAGCTGAGGGGCTCCTCGGGGCCCCGCCTCCTTAGATGGGCTGACCTTTGCACTCCTCTGTGCGCCCCGGACCGCACCCCTGCCCTCAGCTCTGCTGCCCCCCGATTCCCAGCCCGAGCCTGCAGCCCCATCTCCCACCGGGAAGCCCAGCCCAGCGCGGCCCCTGCAGAGGACCCGCGGGGTGGCGCGGTCTGCCCGTCCCTGCCGTCCCCTCGACGCCCCCCAGACCTGCCTTCTCGCACCCCTCTGAGTAACCGTTTGCCAGGTGACTGCTCCTCTTTCCAGACAACTTCTCTTCGGCAGCCAGAAGCTGCCAGGCAGACAGATGACAACCGGGATCTGCAGTTATTACGGCAGATTTTAAATGACAAAAGGATACATTTTAAAATAAAGCCCACTTGAAAATTAGCTCCTCTTCCAACTCCATTACATGCAGGCTTCCTGCTCCCATGCTCCTTAGACAGCTCCCAGCTCCCGTTGGCTTCGGGGATCGGAGGAGTGTTGCCGTGGCAACAGAGAAGGCCCAGACACCTGAGAAGAAAGTGGGGGACACCCCCTCCTGCTCCCTCACCCCTGCAGCGGCCGCGGGGCCCCCATCAGCTGCCTAGGTTGAGGCAGAGACCCCAGTTGCCATACTCCCACCGCGACCGGGACCTGGCGTCAGAGCTGAGCTGAGGGGTGGGCGGCAGAGGACCCAGCGACAGGCTGACTGTCACCTCGGGGCCCCCGCGGACGGGGGCAGGTGCCCTGGCCGACAGGACGACAGGCAGCTACACCGCCCCCTCCGTTCCCGTGGCGGGGACGGGGGGGCCCCTGTCCAGGTTGCCCCTTTCCTGGTGCGAGTCCAGCCGAGCCGGTTTCTCACGTGGTTTCGAATGCGCCAGACCAGTGCTTCCCCACCCCCACCCTCCACCAAGCCTCCCGCTGGGTCTCCCTCCCCCACGCCCCTGACCACAGGCCACACCCTGGCGTCGGCTGCTCTGTGAGGCCAGAAACAAACCTCGGCTCCAACGTCATTGAACCAGGGGTCACGGGGCATCTCAGCCAGGTATGGGGCCTGCTGTTGTTTCCACAACCAACCCTGACGCTGACCTCCCATCACACCGGGACCGCAGGGGGCCCGGGGAGCGGTCCTCCTCCCACGGGGTCACCGATGTCCGCACATGGCTCCCCCACCCTGCACGACGCCACAGGCGCGTCCCCCTGCCTGGCCCTCACGGAGCACAGCCCGCAAACCCCCCACCTCGATTCTCAGCACCCCAGCATCTTTTATGTATTTATTTTCTCTCTTTATTGATTTTAGAGAGAGAGGAAGGGAGAGGGAGAGAGAGATGGAAACATGGATGAGACAGAACATCGACTGGCCGCCTCCTGCACGCCCCCCACTGGGGATCAGCCCACAACCTGGGCCTGGGCCCTGACCGGGAATCGAACGGGCGACCTCGTGGTGCAGGGTCGACGCTCAACCACTGAGCCACAGCAGCCGGGCAGCACCCCAGCATCTCGTAACCCTTCTCTGCCCCCCACTGTCCCCAGCCCGTGCGCCCAGGCGCCCCCTTGCTCCCTGTGCCCTGGTACTGCCTCGGGCAGAGACCCGCCTCCCGAGTGTGCAGAACGAGAGACTCTGTCTGCGCCCGAGGCTGCCGGCGCCTCTGCTCTGCCGTCCTGACCAGACGGAGCCTGCGGCTCCTTCGCACCACGAGCGCTTCCGTCTGATTTACGGGGGTCCCAGCCCTGTCCGGCCCAGTCCTCAGTCCTGAACCCCCAAGAGAAGGGAAGACCCTGAGCCTCCACTGGCAGGGGTCCCATCAAAGAGCCGAACACGAGCTATAAAGTCGGGGTGTCCCTCACCCCTCTGGGGGCCCAGCACCCCTGCTCTTCACCCCCCCCCCCCGCCTCGCTGGTCCGCTCCTGGACCTGGAGAAAGCTCTCCGGCTGTCACTCTGTCTCTGGCTCACCTGTCCCTGCCGCTGGGCTGGTGTCAGCCACTCGGGGAACACATGGCACCCCTGCCAGCCTCGCCGAGGACCCCGCCCCTCAAGGCCCAGCTGTCATCAGAGGCCACATTAGCGGCACTCAGGTGTTTTCTGCCCGAAAGGTGCCCCATAGACACCAGCATCCAGGGCCACACACACAGACCTTGGGGGCTCCAGGGCCCGCCGACACCCCCGAGCACAGGCCGCACCTCCACAGAGCCTGGGGGCTCCCGGGCCCGCCGACACCCCCGAGCACAGGCCGCACCTCCACAGAGCCTGGGGGCTCCAGGGCCCGCTGACACCCCCAAGCACAGGCCGCACCTCCACAGAGCCTGGGGGCTCCAGGGCCGGCCGACACCCCCGAGCACAGGCCGCACCTCCACAAAGCCTGGGGGCTCCAGGGCCCGCAGACACCCCGGAGCACAGGCCGCACCTCCACAGAGCCTGGGGGCTCCAGGGCCCTCCGACCCCCCGGAGCACAGGCCGCACCTCCACAAAGCCTGGGGACTCCAGGGCCCGCGGACACCCCGAGCACAGGCCGCACCTCCACAGAGCCTGGGGGCTCCAGGGCCCGCGGACACCCCGAGCACAGGCCGCACCTCCACAGAGCCTGGGGGCTCCAGGGCCCGCGGACACCCCGAGCACAGGCCACACCTCCACAAAGCCTGGGGGCTCCAGGGCCCGTGGACACCCCGAGCACAGGCCGCACCTCCGCAGAGCTGGGGGGCTCCAGGGCCCGCCGACACCCCCGAGCACAGGCCGCACCTCCACAGAGCCTGGGGGCTCCAGGGCCGGCCGACACCCCCGAGCACAGGCCGCACCTCCACAGAGCTGGGGGGCTCCAGGGCCTGCCGACACCCCCGAGCACAGGCTGCACCTCCGCAGCAGCGGGGCAGCGGGAGGGCGGGGCCTCCTCAGGCTTACCTTGCGCATGTCTTTGCCGAAGGTCTCACTGTAGGTGGTGCCCAGGATCTCAAACTGGACGTAGGGATTGGAGCTGTCCTCCCGAAACTCCATGACCCCCGTGAGGCCGGTGATGTGGCCCTGCAGAGGAAGGACAGACATGGGAGGTCGGGCAGGTGCGGGCGGAAGGACGGGGTTCCCAGGTGGGAAGAAAGAGGTGGTCACTGCCCCGAACAAGTGAGGTCGGGGGAAGCAGTGGGCCCGCCTGCTGGGAAGTCCCAGGCCATCAGGGCTCCCCAGGCCCTGCCACAGGGAAGGCCCCCCGCAGTGCTTGTCACTGATGCAGGGGGACAGAGGACCTGTCTGCCACAGACGCTCCCTCCCCTGGAGCTCTCAGCCCTGGTGAGCTGCCCCAGGGGCTCATCTTAGCGTGAGCCAAGTGGGAAGTCCAAGGTCAGCAAGGGCCACGTCGGACACACGGTGGGAGTTGCCGGGCAGTGAGCGTGAGCGCTGGAGGCCACGCCCAGCTCCAGCCCTGGCTTTGCCACCTGCCACCTCAGGCAAGTCCTGTCCCATCTCCCAGCTCAGCCTAGAAGTGCTCAGGTCCATGTCACAGACCCGCGGACCAAGAAGAAACAAAGCGCAGTGTCCGGCACAGGCGAGGGTGGCGGGTGTGTATGCCCAGTGCCTCCCCCGTGGATCGGGCTCTGTGGGAGCAGGCGCAGAGGCTGAGCTACCCTGTGGTCAGTCCCTGCTTTCTTCAAGCCTGGGGAAGTGCAATCATCAGCCTAATCTCCCACAGACTGAGCTGGACGAGTCCCAAGGCTGAGCTGGCCCAAGAGGGCCCCCAGCTCGGCTTGGGCTGCGGTAGACGTAAACCACACCAGAATGTGCTCACGGCTGCTGAGCCACGCACAGCTGACTGTGACGGGAGCTCCCAGCGCTGTGGATTTCCTTAAATGCTCTTTTGAAACCTCTAAAGGCCAATTCACTCGAACAGATCTTCTGTGGATTACCCAACTCCCTTCGAATGCAGCCTTCTAACAGGGAGTCCCGCTCAGCATGCTATCGCCAGAGCAGACAGCCCACACATGTTCACCCGTGCACACACCCAGGGCAACACACACCCATGCACACCCGTGCAAACAACCTGGGGAACACACCCGTGCACACACCCAGGGCAACACACCCGTGCACACCCGTGCACACACCCAGGGCAACACACACCCGTGCACGCCCGTGCACACACCCAGGGCAACACACATGTGCGCACCTGTGAACACAACCTGGGGAACACACACCCGTGCACACAACCAGGGCAACACACCCGTGCACACACCCAGGGCAACACACACCCGTGCACACCCATGCACACACCCAGGGCAACACACATGTGCGCACCTGTGAACACAACCTGGGGAACACACACCCGTGCACACACTCAGGGCAACACACACATGCACACCCATGCACACACCCAGGGTAACACACACCCATGCATACCCGTGCACACACCCAGGGCAACACACACGTGCGCACCTGTGCACACAACCTGGGGAACACACACCCATGCACACCCGTGTACAGACCCAGGACAACACACACATGCATACCCAATCACACACCCAGGGCAACACACACACGTGCACACCTGTGCACACACCCGGGGCAACACAACCGTACACACACATGCACACACTCAGGATAACACACACATGCACACCCATGCACACACCCAGGGGAACACACACACGTATACACAGCTGTGGCCTTGGCTGACTAGCACATCTACTGCCCCCTGAGACAGCCTCTCTCACAGACATTGGCAGACATGAGCTAGTCAGTTTCTTCCGTTTTCCCCCTGAGAGCAATGCCCCTTACCCACAGGGGAGACGGTCCAAGACCCCCAGTAGGTGCCCAAAGCCATGGAGAGCCCAGGCTCTAATATGCTGTGTGTTCTTCCTATACATCCTCACAGCTACGATGAAGTTTCACTATAAACGACTCACAGCAGGAGACCAACACCAGTAACTACAATAAAACAGCAATAGCAGCAATGACTGCAACAGAAGCTATGCAAACGGGGTCTCGCTCCCCCAACATCTCCTGTGCGGCATGCGCCCCTCTTCTTGTGATGACGTGAGACTACGAGGCCTGCGTGATGAGAGGAGCAGGCACTCAGAATGATGTGCAATGTACAACGTGAACTATGTATTTCTGGAATTTTCCATGAATACCTTCCAGCCACCGGTGACCATGGGAACTGAAGCTGCTGAGACTGAAACCGTGGACGGGGGGCTGGGGGACGTGTGACCTTGGGCAGGTCACCTGACCTCTCTGAAGTCCGACCTCGCATATGGAAGCAGAGACAGTAATGACAAGAGAGCCGAGAACCCAGCTCAGTCTCCCCCCAAGGCTGGGACGGGAAGGTGGGCTCTGGGGGCCTGCGGGCAGCCACACTAAGGCCTCTGTCAGGCCACCTGCTGAGAGCAGGGCGTGAGGAGGGGCTGTCCCGGGCCCTGGCTCGGGAGGGTGCCCACACGCACCTTCTTGATCGTGTCCAGCATGGACCTCCCTCCGTTCCAGGGCTTGGTGGACTTGCGGACGCAGTTGAGGCTGGCCATGCTGTGCCACTTCCGGTCCTCCAGCTTCCGGTGGAAGGCGTTGGCCAGCATCAGGACGCTGTCGTACAGGTACAGGTTGGAGATCTGCAGAGACACGGGCGCGAGGCCTTTCCAGGGCTGCACTTGCAGGGAGCCCGGGGGGCGGGGGGCCGGCCCTCAGCCAAGTGCACCCGACCCCTGGCAGCGGCGCTCTGGCTTCCACGTGTGCAGTCCAAACCCGGGCAGGGGCCGCACAGACCCCGACCTGCCCGCTCCAGGAGCCAGGGTGGGGAAATCCCAACACCAACCCTGAGAGGCAGAGGGGTCAGTGCAGGGAGGGGTCTGGTGCGCAGCGCTGTGCCCGGGAGTGGGACACCTGCTCGGGTAGGGGTGGGACACCTGCTCGGGTAGGGGTGGGACACCTGCTCGGGTAGGGGTGAGACACCTGCTCGGGTAGGGGTGGGACACCCGCTCAGGTAGAAGTGGGACATCCGCTCAGGCAGGGGTGGGACACCTGCTCAGGTAGGGGTGGGACACCCGCTCGGGTAGGGGGGGGACACCCGCTCGGGTAGGGGTGGGACACCTGCTCGGGTAGGGGTGGGGGACACCCGCTCGGGTAGGGGTGGGACACCTGCCACGGTAGGGGTGGGACACCTGCTCGGATAGGGGTGAGACATCTGCTCGGGTAGGAGGGGGACATCTGCTCAGGAAGGAGGGGGACACCTGCTTGGGTAGGGGTGGGACACCTGCTCGGGTAGGGGTGGGACACCTGCTCAGGTAAGGAGGGCTGAAGGGCGAGGTGGGCAGGAAGCCAGTCTAGATGGATCGGAGTATAAAAGGTGGGGTTTATAGGGAGGTGGGCCCTGTGCAATGGAGCAGGTCCAGGTAGGGCCGGGACTTCCTGTGAGGGACCAAGCGTAGCTGCCGGGATCTGCAGCTGTCAGTGCAGAGGAGCCACCGCAGCTACCCCGACAGAGGGCGCACCTGCCGAACTTCGTTCACAGACAGAGGCCCAGCCTGAGGGCCACAGCTGGCCGCCTGGGACGAAGGACTGAGAACAGTTCGAGGGTCTGCGACAAGGGGCAGTGTACGGCCCGGCTGGTGTGGCTCAGTGGTTGGGCGTCGACCCTGCACCAAGAGGTCGCCAGTTTGATTCCCGGTCAGGGCACACGCCCAGGCTGTGGGCCCATCCCCAGTGGAGGGCGTGCAGGAGGCCAATCCATGTTCTCTCTCATCCATGTTTCTCTCCCTCTCCCTCTCCCTTCCTCTCTCTCTAAAATCAGTAAAGGAAAGAAACAGTGGGCAGCATAGGGAGGGCATAGGATGGGGGGTGGGGCGGGGACAGGGCCATGCTGAGCCCCATCTGCCAGGCTCGGGAGTGAAAACAAGGGTGACTTTGGGGAGAGGGGCACCCCTGGAGGGCCTACGCCCAGAAACCACACGCGTGCCTGAGAAAGGCCGCTGGGGCCCTGGCTGGGCCCAGGGCGGACGGCGGACGGCAGACAGCGGACGGTGGCAGGCGGCAGGCGGCAGCTACGCTGATGGAGATCCCAGACGTCAGGAGCCCGCTCTGCGGCGGCATCGTGCCCTCAGGGATGCCCTGAGGACTGCCAACCATGGCAGCTGAGAACATCCCTCTGCCTAGCTGCCCACAGCATGGTGGTCCCAAAGGGGACACGGTGTGCTCAGAGCTCCGGAGAGCGGCCGTGAGGGGGGCTCGGGTCACCGCGAGGATAGCCGCCATCCGTGGGCTCTGGGCAGGGCCAGGCCGCCGGCTCGCTCCCCTGCCCACGGATGGGAACCCGGACCCCCGTGAGCCCGACCACCAGCCCAGCCTCTCAGGGCCAGCTCGGGCCCTGCGCGGAGAGGGCAGGGGTGCTCTCCGGTGTCCCCCTCAGCCGCCCCTCCCCCCACGGGGTGTCGGGAGCCGGAAGGGAAGACGGGAAGAAGCGGGTGGAAGGAGGCAGCACCCGCTCGGGTGAGGGGCCGTCCCAGTGGCCGCCGCACCAACAAGCATCAGCCGAGGTGGGTCAGAGGGACGAGTCCCCCCCATCGAAGCAGCAGGTCCTGCTAGAAGGGCCAGGGATCGAAGTCACAGATACAAGTGGGAGAATGTGAGGCCTCGGGGGCTCCTGGGAGAGCAGTGCGACCCCTGGGCTTCAGAAGAACCCGCTGCCTCCAGCCCCCACCACTCCCCAGAACTCCCCTTGCACCTCAACTCCTCGGGCCTTATTCTCAGCCTGCAGTTTCTATCCTCACACAGACGGAGCACCCCAACACAGGGCCCCAGGCAAGGGCCAGAGGTGGGCCGAGGGGCTGAGGCGGGACACCAGAGGCACCTGCGACGTCACGTCTGCCCAGCCAGACAGGCCCTGGAGCAGAGCTGGCCACCTCTGGGGTGCCCTGTGCCCCGCACCCTGCAGAGCCCTTCCTGCCTGCTTCACCCTGCTCGCTGGAAGTGGGCACAGCCATGGGCACGGAGGGGCATCCCTGGCACCTCTCCACGCTGGGGTGTCAGGAGGCGGTGGAGGACGGACGGGGGATGTCTCAGAGGTGGCAGGGGGGTGCCTGGGACTTCAACAAGGCCTCAGCCCTCAGGGAAGCAGGCATGTGTGCACCTGGGGACCCTCTGGGGGCCTGCAGCACACAGGTGCTCACTGGACAGCCACCTGGACCCCCCTATGCTGCAGGGCACCAGGACAGACCATGATCCGCCCCTCAGCCCGCTGCCCAGCTCCCGGGAGCCCTACTACTGCCGAATTAGTTTTGACCCCTCTGCCCCCTCTGGAATGCAAAGCCACACGGGTGTTCTGTAAGAAAACATGAGCCACCTAGAGTTGGCTGGGTGTTCTTTTTTCTTTTCTGAAAAAATATCTCAGAGCTGAGAATCCTTGGTGATATGAAGGTTTCTCCCCTCGTCCACGGATCTCCCAGCCGACGCTACTCAACCAGCGGGGCATGCTGACTCTCGCCTACACCTGTGCCCACTGTCTCCCAGGGAAGCACCACCCAGCTGTGGCCCATCCAGCCCCTGGAGGAGCTCCCCTCCCCCCCAGCACTTCAGTTCGCAGTGAATTCAGGTCCTTAACACATGCACTTGTGCAGAGAGGCCTGCGTGGAGATGTGAAGACGGAAACAGGATGTGACTCAGAAAGGCCAAGGCAGCTCCCAGCCCCCTCCCCTCCCCTCCCCGTGTGTCTTCGGGGAAGGCAGTTCCCAGGACCCTCCCCTCCCCCTCCCCGTGTGTCTGCGGGGAAGGCAGCTCCCACCCTCCTCCCCCTCCCCGTGTGTCTGCGGGGAGGGTGAACACGTTTCAGTCCAAGGGAACGGGCTGGGGTAATGCTCTTCCCAGGCACGACTAGGCCTCTGCACCATCCCCACCGGCATCACCAAGCCTTCCGCCATGGCACATACACACTGTCCGTCCACAAGTGCATTGTCACCAAACTGTAAGCTTCTTAAGTACAGGGGATTTTTTTTTTACTCTTCTAGATATTTCTACATATATTCACCATCTCTAGAACCCAGCACCCAGCACCAACCAAGACACATGGTTGGTGCCTCTAATGTATGTTGGATGGATAGATGCATGGTTGATGGATGGAAGGATGAATAGACAGATGGATGAGTGTGTGGTCTGGTGAGTGGGTGTGTGGGGGGAGGAGAGAGGAAGTTGGGGAGATAGATGATGGATAATGGATGGATGGATGATGGATGATGGATGGATAGATGATGGATGGATGGATGATGGATGATGGATGGATGATGGATGGATGATGGATGATGGATGGATGGATGATGGATGGATGATGGATGGATGATGGATGAATGAATGGATGGATGATGGATGATGGATGGATGGATGATGGATGGATGGATGTTGGATGAATGAATGGATGGATGATGGATGATGGATGGATGAATGATGGATAGATGATGGATGGATGATGAATGATGAATGGATGATGGATGGATGGATAATGAATGATGGATGGATGGATGGATGGACGATGGATAGATGATGGATGATGGATGGGTGGATAATGAATGATGGATGATGGGTGATGGATGAATGGATGGATCTCCTGCTAAGAACACACACACTGATCTTGGTTCACAAAAAGAGAGAAGATAGAAAACAGACGGTAGGAAAACAAGATTTGCTGCCTCCAACTGTGGCGGGAGGGAAGCGCCTTCGTTCAGACGAGCGTGGCTCTCGCTCACAGCCCACTCGAGACGATGTCTCAGTCTTTACTGGACTGTTGATCCGCACTCACTGCCGCCCCTTCTGGTGAGGCACTGTCTCAAACGTCCCACCTCAGACAGAAGCCAACACCTTGTATTGGTCTGTGGCTCCCCCTCCGCTCCCCAACCTCAGTGTCCTCACAGGTGACCGGCGGGGCTCACAGATGGGGGTGCATGGAAGGAGTGTTAACCTCACAGTCTGGTTGTCCAAGGATGAGACCTTTGGGGAAAGATCAAGAACAGAGAGCAGACAGGCAGCCTCTGGCTGGGGCTCCCTCCGGTCCTGACAAAGGGAGGAAAAGTCTTTGCTCAGGTAGGGGTGACTAGCGCCGGGGCTTGGCCACGCCGTGCCCCCGAACCAAGAGGAGCAGTCCAGAGAGAGAGAGGCTCCCCGCGGCAGGGACACTGCTCCCCGCTGGCACCGAGGGGCTAACCGTCCATGCTGGAGCCGAGGCGATGGGCCAGGGCAGGGCGGGTGGCTTCCCCGCAGGGGCCCTTGCCTTCCCCTCATCTCAGGTGGGGCGCTCACTCGTGAAGAACCCTCAAAGAGCAGACACTGTCGCTATTTAACCCTCAGCCCCAGCAACTGGGAGCCGGGGGCTCTGGCCGGGGACACTGCCGCACGAGAGCGACAGGAGCCGAAGACAGCAGGTCAGGTGAGAACGGACTTGAGAAGCAAAGGAGAGGCCAAAGCACTGAGGCCGAGGGTGCAGCGGGGGAGGAGCCGGATGCAGAGCAGAGGACCTGGAGCCAGGTCCGAGATGCCAGAGGTGCACAGGGGCCAGAACCAGGAGAGGGGCCCACGGCTTCCCAGGGCCTGCGGCCTTGCCCTAGGTGGGGACAGACCGGAAGGAGCCCAG